CTAAGCCTGGGCGCTGTCCCTGTGCTCTTCAGCTCAAAACAAGCACTCTACTACTTGAGCCACAGCGCCACATTCAGTTTTCTGGTGGTTAATTGGAGATAACAATCTCATGGGCTTTCCTGTCTGGTCTGGCTTTGAACAGTGATCCTCAGATCTCAGCCTCTCAAGTAGCTGGGATTACAGGCATGAGCCACCAGCATCCAGCGTGCACGCATCTTTTTAACAAATCATTTTTATTGTGTTGGAATGTGGCTTAGTGGTAAAGCACTTGTGTAGCAAGTGTAATATCTGTGTTAAATCCCCAGTGGAAAAAAAAAGACAAAAAAAAGCTAATCATTTTTATTATCTTTAAATAGTTCTACAAGCCAGTGCCAATGGCTCATGCCTGTCATCCAGGCAAGAAAATCCACGAGACTCTTACCTCCAATAAACTATAGCCAGAAGTGGAATTGTGGCTCAAGTAATAGAGCATAAGCCTTGAACACAAAAGATCAGAGACAGCATCCAGGCCCAGAGTTCAAGCCCCAGGACCCACAAAAAATGATTGTACAAAAGTGTTTCAATTTAATGTGTCAGTTTATGTATGCAATGCATTTTGATCAGTATCACCCCTTCCATCTGCCCCCATCTAAACCATACTACTTGTTTCCCAAAGCTTCCATTTCATGTATACGCATTGAACATTATCAGTGTTATATCCCCACCATTTCTCTCTCCATTCATCCACCCCCTCCCCTGAAGTCCCATCCTCTGAGACAAGTCATAATTCATTTTCCTGCTATTCATTTTGTTAAATTGTCAGTTAAGTATTCCAGAGAGTAACAGTATGGAAACCCACTCCTACAAATATCATACTTCAGTTTGACTGTGTATATATGGTACTGTATATATTTTCATATGTTCATATTTGATAGCTAACATCCACATGTGAGAGAAATTTTGCACCCCTTGTTTCTGTGAACCTAACTTCACTCAATATGATTTTTTTTTCCAGGCCCATTTACTTCTCTGAAAATGACAGTCTTTCTGATAGGCAGATATAATAGATATATAGAGATATATATGGATACATTGTACACACACAATCCATTCATCCATTGTAGGGCAATGGGGCTGTTTCCATAACTTTCTGTCCCTCTTTCTTTTAAATTTGTGGGGGCTGGGAAGGTGGCTCAGTGGTAGAGTGCTTGTGTTGCATGCCAGAGGCCCTGGGTTCGATTCCTCAGTACCACATAAGCAAAAAGAAAAAAGTTGGAAGTGGCGCTGTGGCTCAAGTGGTAGAGCGCTAGCCTTGAGCTGAAGAGCTGAGGGACAGCGCCCAGGCCCAGAGTTCAGGCCCAAGAACAACAAAAAAAAAAAAAAAAATCTCAATTTTGTTTTGAGTCACCATTCCCCGCCCTTAATGTTTCATAGTAGCTTATCTCTGACTCTTAGGGGCTTGTCTCGGTCTGAAGAAACACTTCCATAAAAAGGCCTTCACAGCCGGGCGCCGGTTGCTCACGCCTGTAATCTAGCTACTCAGGAGGCTGAGATCTGAGGATCACAGTTCAAAGCCAGTCCAGGCAGGAAACTCCATGAGCCTCTTATCTCCAATAAACCACTAGAAAACTGGAAGTGTCACTGTGGCTCAAGCGGTAGAGCACTGGCCTTCAGTTGAAGAGTGTGGGGACAGTGCCCAAGCCCAGAGTTCAAGCCCCATGACCGACCAAAAAAAAAAAAAGGCCTTCACATTCCCTTTTAAGCCAATGTGGTGGTACATACTTATGATCCCAGTACTAGGAAGGTTGCCACAGGAGAATGGTGGTTTTGAGGCCAGCTTGAGCTACATAAGGAAATCTTGTCTCAAGAACCTAAAGCAAGAGCAAGAGGAGTAGTTGAAGTGGTATAGCACCTGCCTAGAAAACATAAGGCCCTGAGTTCAAACTATAGTACTACAAAAACTAAAATAAAATAATCCCCAAACAAAGCATAATGAACACATCCTTCTAACTCCTTTCTCATGATATAGAGTTTGAGCCCATGGTTTTCTCCTGGGACAAAACTACAAAGGGGGTGATTGCCTCTTTTCTGGTTGCTTTAAGCTTCTGACTATAGGCTTTTCTGAGGATGGCTGCACTCCTTGGCTCCATGGATTCTGTGGGATAGAATCACTTCTCTATAATACATTTACTCCTTATGATGGAGTTCCAGCAGCCGTGCAGGTAAGAGTCTCCACATCATGAAGGAGTCCAAACTCTTCCTTCCTCCCAATGAGTATGGAGCCCATCTGGGGTAAAAGAAGCCTCAACATGTAGGGTAGTTTCAAAGAAGCTGAGGAGAGTGGTGCATACCTGTAATCCTAGCTACTCACAAGGAAGAGATTGGGAGTATTGAGGTTCAAGGCCATCGTAGGTAAAACAAAATTCACAAAATTTCAACTCAAGATATAAAAGCTAAGCATGGTAGTGTATGGCAGTCATTCCAGCTATGTGGGAAGCAGGAGGATGGCAGGATGGCAGTCTAGACAGGCTATGACATAAACCTGAGACTGTATTTGAAAAATATCTAAAGCAAAAAGTCCTTCAGACATGACTCAGGTAGGTAGAGCATCCACCTAGAAAATAAAAGACACAGCCCAGCACTGGTGGCTCACGCCTGTAATCCTAGCTACTCAGGAGGCTGAGATCTGAGGATCTCGGTTCAGGCCAGGCAGGAAAAGTCTGTGAGACTCTTATCTCCAATAAACCACTCAGAAAATTGGAAGTGGGACTGTGGCTCAAGTGGTAGAGTGCTAGCCTTGAGCTGAAGAGCACATGGACAGTGTACAGGCCCAAAGTTCAAGCCCCATGACCAACCAGAAAAAGAAAGAAAGAAAGAGAGAGAAAGAGAGAGAGAAAGAGAGAGGAAGAAAGAAAGAGAAAGAGAGAGAGAGAAAGAAAGAAAGAAGGAAAGAAAAGAAAAGGCACTAAGTTCAAACTCCAGGGGGGGTGGAGGAGGGTGATTTATTTATTCATTTGATTCAACAAATATTTCCTGGACATGTACCATATAGCCGCTTTTTTTAGGAGACAACAATCTAATAATTCCTAAATTGTCCCCAAATATCATTCCAGGATCCATGGTGTAGATCCTGGAGATTGTGGTTGTTCTAGAAACTACAATTAAGTACTGATCCGTTTGTTACCACCAGCAGATTCTAGTCTGTTGGACAGACAGAAAACAGGTGCCAACGTGAGATTTAGTGAAAGCTGACATACAGCTCATGGGGTTCACTCCCCCCCGCAAAGGTCTCAGTGCTTTGGGCTTACAGTCAGCCCCTACAGCTTCCAGCAGTGCTCAGGCCTTGAGAGACAAAATACAATACTTTTTGTCTACCCTAAATCCTTAAGACTTCCCATGCCCGTGAGTCCTTATCCAGAGGATACATTTGTCAGGAACAGGATTAATCTGAGGATTTTTGTGGAGGAAGTGCTATGGGAGGGAGATGCAGGTAGTTCTGAGCTGTGTCTATGTTGATATATACACAATCTCAGTGATCAGCCACTCTCTGGTTGAGCTTGACCACAACGCCCAAAGAGTGGGTTTTGGCCCTTCCAGCTGCAGGGCCTTCCAATTCCAGTTCATATGACAGACAAGTCCCTACCAATGCCAGGGACTTGCCTCAGCCACAGCAGCTGCCCCAGACTGGGCAGACATATAGACAGAGCCATTCAGTGTATTACTGGGTGCTTACACCTTCTCCAGCCACCCGCACCACTAGTAGAATGGTACAGCCTTACTGCCTGTGTGAAAATAGAATAGCTTGAGGGTTCAGAGCCAAGCTCTAAGCTATTTCCACACTTAGAGAAGAGGTATTTAAATCATCGATGCCTCAGTTTCCTCATCTATGCAAAGGTAACTAGGAAGTGGAGGTTTGGCTTAAGTGATAGAGCACCAGTTGTGTGTGCAAAAGCCAAAGGAGAGCATAAGGCTCTGAGTTCAAGCTCCAATATTAGCAATATATATATTGTTTAACTGGAGGTCGGTCGTTCACAAATGCAATGCCCATAATCCTAGCTACTTAGGAAAGTCTATGGGACTCTTTTTTTTGGGGGGGGGTCCAGTTGTGGGGCCTAAACTCTGGGCCTGGGCGCTGTCCCTCAGCTCTTCAGCTCAGGGCTAGTGCTCTACCACTTGAGCCACAGCGCCACTTCCGGCTTTTTTCTTTTTGCTTATGTGGTGCTGAGGAATCGAACCCAGGGCCTCAGGCATGC